TGCTGCATCGGATGAGCACCACGGACGGCGCATGCTAGACAAGGACGTGATTCAGACCTGCCCCTTCGTGATGCGCACCATCCGTTGCACACCGCGTTGATTGCACTCCAGGAAACAGAGCAAGGAACACATTCACTTTAATGAAGCAGGATAAACATGACACGGTCGACCTGGGCCAGGCTCGCGCCAGGGACAATATGATGCGCGCGACGCTGAACCATGTCTCGAACTTGCAGGGCCCCATGGTCCCTCAGGCAATCTTCGGTAGCCCTCTAGAGCTTATTGGCGGTGATCACGGAGGCGCCCCAGGGGCGCTTTCGACAGAGGCGACGACATCACTGACAAGCTTGAGGGAGGAGCGTGCCCACGACGGATCGCGCTGCCACGGAATACAACAATCGTCAGATTGAACAACTTCCTCGAGACCTTCACGGAGCCCGCGAAGTACTGAAGAGAAGAACCCATTGCAATACAGAGCTGCACGACAAACTAACCTCAAACCGCGACGTTGGGCGGGCATGTTGATCTCTGTCAAACAACTCATGCTGGAGGTCGTGGCGACATCCCACTGTACCCCCACGATTTCTGAATTCCCGGGCACCCAGCGGCAAGCAAAGCAGGAAAAGGCAAAACAGTTTACGTCCCAGCACACTGAAGCACAACATGTTATAGTGCGATTCAGACTTATTCACCCCGATTCCATAAACCCCCACCTGCTTGACAACCAAGAAATACTTACTCATCGGCGGAGCCCAACTAGAAAATTGAGCGCCCCCCCCGATCAGAACCCCCAACTACCGCTCGTCGAGCAACAATCCACGCGTTGCAACGCAGCGTGAGTGGTCGCAGTCTCCCCGCGATCTCACCATCAGAAATATCACCAAGGAGGATCAGCGCGGCCACCTCGGGGTGCGTGCATAGTCCATATGGGCGCGCAACCTCGGCCCCAAACCCGATCGAAACACTCAATGTACCAGGCGCGTCGCCCGCGGCCGCTTCGACGTCGTCGGCGAAGGCTCCGCGCGAGGACGTCGAAGTTGGAAGTCGGGGGCGCAGGAATCTCATGACTGGGCCAAACGCAATGGCCCAGAGGGCACCCGGCAACAGGCGCACTTGCTCGATCCCGCGGGCCCGGGAGCCGCGGCCGCGAGGCCCGCGGGAAAAAAAGACTCGGCACCCGACTTCACGAAAGAACGTGTTGATCCCGCGGACGAAGAACCTCAGATCCCACGTCAGAGAGAGGGACCAGAAAAACGCGTCGTGAATAAAGGACAAAAAAGCGACGCGAATGTCGAATCATGTACAACCACTATGTCTAGAGAAACGCTGGACCAGATGATGAAGCAAGCAAGCGTCCAGCCCGAAGATACTGTTAGCCGCATTGCTGTTCTTGACAACCCCCCTTCTGTGCCCCACTCAAATCGCCTGCGCGATGTTGCTGAGAGGCTTGCACTTAGCCGCGGCCAACCACTTAAATGAATAATTTCCTTGCGCCAGCGCCTGGCGCAGTTAGGGCTTCTGGCGATGTCGGGGTGGTCAGTTTCCGAGGACACCTCGGGGGCGAATCTCAAATGGGCCCAATGAAACCGATCGCCCACCAGACCAGCGTCCAAGATGGCCGCATCGCCGCATCGCCCCCTCCCCCACCACCCACCCCACCCCGCCCCCGCAGCCCGCCCCCCGCCGCCCGCCCGCCCGAAGCCAGGCAGAGTAGACGAGCCAATCAAGGCTGGCGGCCGAGACATGTCCTCCAAATACGTCGGCACATGTCCTCGCACCCCAGGCGACGCTTTACCGCGACGGGAACTCGTCGCGCAAAGTCAGCAAGTTCTCGCCAAGCGGCGGTGCAACATTCACGAGCGGCATGAACGGGGCCCCAATACCTACTGCGCCTACTGAACTCGATGGCGGCCCCCCAGAGACCCCGAGAGGCGCTTCCCCGCGGGGCCCAGGGCGGTGGCGAGCAGGGCCCCGCCCCGTCCTGCGGCCCCAGGCGGCTCCGAAACTTGGATTTTGCGGCGCGCGGGGGGGGGGGGGGGATCCAATCAGTCGGCGCGACCCAATTTGCTCTGAAGGCATTCGAATATAAGCTCGCTGAGCGCCCCGTGGGTTTACCATGATCAACAGAGTAGTCGCACTCCTCGTTGACGACTTCCAGAAGCCAAGGGTTAGCTGGGCAAGCGCGACGTGCGCGGCGGGGGCTGCCGAGTACCCCGCGTAGCTGTAAGTCGTTCGGAGAGCACCTCAAAACAAAACTGATGTCTTGGCGAGCTCGAACTTTCTCACGGGTTTCTTGCCGGCGGCAGTCAAGATATAAGCCATCTCGCCTGCGGCTGCGACGGGGTCTTCACTGGGCCGCCCATCTCCCTCGACTAGTTCAGCCACGCACGTCGGCGCATCGCGATGTCGAGCCGCCCGCCTGGGCATCTCGCAACCGCCAGACTCTGCCCTGGTCGCGAGCACGACCGTCACGGACACGCGGCCAGACAACTCTCGTACA